ATCAACGTTCATTTTTAGCTACTTGTACATTCGTAATAAAAAGTTTGTCGTTGTTGTAAAATCTTTTTGAATTTTTATAATTTTCTACAAAGTTTCAAATTCCGACTTATATGGTTTTTGTTAGATAATAAGCTGTATTTTTTGAATAAAAAATATAATAATCATTAATCAAACAAAAACAAAAACTAATCAAAATGTCGTATCCCTATTTTTTTTTGTCATGACTATATATACCGAAACATATTTTTCGGCATATTTAATTTTCTGAGAACAATGAAAGAAATGCACACAACTTCATATAAAATAAATAAAAAACTGATTTGTTGAATTAAAGAAATTTTATTCAGATTTATTATTTAAATATTTGCGTTCAATGGCATGCTAGTTGTAACTTGTGTCTCGATCTCTTCTGCATTTTCATCTTCCACATTCTGCTTTGCTTCAGCATTTTTTCTCTTCAGCAAATCTCTAAAGTATTTTTGAGTACCAATTAAGTCTATCTTTTCATCGACATTTTGGTTTACGACGTCTACAAATAGTACTAAAATGGCACTTAGCAAAGAAAAGCGGTTAGGTTTTCCATGTGCACGTTTTTAAAAGTGAATCAGCAAAGAGCATTGATTTTAATTGTGTTCGTCGCGTGAATTGTTTTTTTAGTTTTTTTAACGTGGTCCAGTTTTGATAGAATGTAGTCTGTTGCTTTTTGTACATACTCATTTTGGTTTTCAGTCAACTCCGCATTGAAATGATTTAGCACATCAATTGAGGTGATCGGCAGTCTTGGAAATGATATACCTTCATATTCTTCAGATGCTACCCATTGTTCTGTAGTCGAGTCAGATATTAGGGAACGTTTTTCATGTGGCTTGTTCATGAATTTAGTCACCGACCCTGATTTTACAAGCTCCTGTAGTGCAAATACTTCACTTCCTAGATATTCCACAGAGTTTTTCAATTCTTGGATGGATGCGATTAGATATACGGATATACGTTTATCCGCGTATGTGAAATCAAGCCTACACTGAGAAAAAGGTTTAGTTATAATAACCAAGATTTGGTTATAGAGACCAAGTGGCATAGTTGGATATGGCGAAATAAATATCTAGTTCACGAAAGTTTGCAATTTACTTGAGCCTTCTAGTTGGGACAAATGTATATTTGTTAA